AGTTACTAAAAAAAAGGAAATTAAAAAAAAAAAAAAAAAAAAAAGGCATATTTTTTATATATGCAGCCCAGTTATCCAAAGAGACTTTAAGCAGATCAAAACTCTCACTTAGAGGCTATATATAAACCATCCCCTGCACTGAACTTTGTGGAATGGTTTAAACCAACGCCAAGCTTTTTGCCACTGTGGGCTACTATTTATGACCCAACCCCTACTGTGGGCTGCAGCCCCACACTGTCTTTGTGATCAGCAGATGCTATGAAGGGAATAGAGAGAAAAGGCAGGTATCAGGACCTTGGTGATACCTCCTCTGCTGCAGCAGAGAGCATAAACTGAACACTGCAGGAGTTAGGCCCCTGAGGGCACCTCTTCTGCTGCTGTGGCTGGAGGATGCTGTCGATTCCCTGAGCTGTCACCTGCTAGATACATTTTTTATGGGCCAGATCTGGCCTGCAGGCCATAGATTGCTGACCCCTGGTATAACCGATAATCTAGCTTTTCCTGTAGTTCTTTTCTAGTCATAATTAGTGGCTCATTTAAATTTCTATTTTTTCCTCTTTAGTTGGGGAGATTATTCTTATGCCTCATAAACAGACAACTAAGTAACTAAATCCAACTGGTGGCTGTGCCTGGAAAATTACTGCTTAAAAAATACTGTCCTTGTTTAGAAAGCTTCATTTCAGAACTGCAGCTTAAAAACTCACCAGGCAGAATAATGTTGTTTTAGGCAACAATATTACTTCTTGTCATGTAGGCTTAGCGGTTGATTAACTGCCTATATGGGGGATGGGAAGAAAAGAAAGACTTTCTCTATTCAGCTAAAAAAAAACAAAAGCGGATGTCATCAAATTGATTATAAAGGTTTTTTAAAAATGATTTTATCTCAGAATAATTGGTTGCTATTCAGCTGTACTTCACTGCAACTCATTTATGTTATTTTGCCTGCCTTGCCCTTCATTGTAGTTACTACATGTTGGAAAACAGGCCCAGGAACATATATGGAATGGTTTGCTACTCATGTTTGTTGGCGCCTCCCAATACCAAGGAATGTAAGTGTTCTTTAATTTCTATTTTTAAAATTCATTTTCATTTTGGATTTCCATAATTTTATCTGATTTGGACTTGGATTCATGCAAATCAAAAATACGAGTCAGCCATCAGTAAGGCCTTTTCTGCTTCCAACCATATCACCTTGCAGATAAAGCTGGTACTGAACTTTGCAGGGCAATTAAACCACTCAGTCTTGATTTAGCTATTTTTCTGCTGTGTTTTGCTTTTAATTTCCTAAAACAGGCCTGTATGATTGATTATCCTTATTTAACTGGATAATCTCTTTGGGTTGCATATTTTAAGGACTAGCCTTAAAATAGCTTCCAGGCTGTTCTGAGAATGCTGTCCTGGAATACAGACAACACTGGAATTCCCACTACAGGCAAGTGCCGAATAGCTGCTCCTTTTCTGTGCTCACTTCCTTCAAGATAGGCAAAAGCAGGGTTGGTTAGTAAGTAATAAACTAGGGAAAAGATATATCCCTACTCAGAATCATTTCATTAGTTTGGCATAAGGGAGTAGCTGAAGTCTAAAACAGTCATTTAAACTGCAATCATGGTGAGACAACTAAACATGAGACGCTGCTACATGCAAGCAGAAGAGCAGTCTGTTTTTATATGTCCTTCTGTCACAAGGTGGGAGGGCTGACAATGGAATATGCACTTTTGAAAGAAGCTCTCATTTGTTAATTGTAAAAAGATGGCTAATCCAGTGGGGTGCTCATGCTGCCAATTCATCCCTCAGCCTTTGAGACCAGAATGTCTTCTTTTCTTGGGGACAAAGAAGCATGGCAGGGGTGAAGGAGGAAAGCAAGGGGGAAGCTGTCTCAGTGCAGTGCAGCGAGTGAGTCCAAACTGAGTGGAACCTCTCTCCAAATCCAGGACAGAGGAGGGGGAAAAGAATAATAAACCAAAAAAGAAAAAACAGAGAAGAGTCCCACTCAACCACAGGCTCAGGATAAAGGCACAGAGCATTTTCCTGTCAGGCAGATAAATAAGATTGGCTCACACCTCTTGGTTTTTTGGAAGTCCATAGCAGCAATACACACTTTGTTTGATTTTAATGTTGGAATTGAAACACAGCTGTCTGGACAGTTATAGTACCACAGGTAGCAGTTACCTAAGTAACAAATTATGACTTCTAAGGAGCAAGCAAAACACGTTACATATTTAAAATACTTTTTAAGCTTTGGTGCAAGAGGTGAGATTGTACCTATACTAGGGGTGTACATCAAGGGCTCGGTGAACAACTGTTCACCAGGGCACCCAAGGGGAAAACCAGGAGTGATGACCACAAACTCCTGGAAGATCGATTCAGACTCAACATTAGGAAAAACTTCTTCACAGTCAGGGTGTCCAGACTGTGGACTAAGCTCCCTCCAGAGGTGGTGCAGTTGCCTACCCTGGAAATCTTCAAGAGCAGACTAGACAGTCACCTTGTTGGGGTCACCTGACCACCCAGTTACCTTTTCTGCTTGGGGCTGGACTCGATGATCTTCTGAGGTCCCTTCCAGCCTTACAGTCTATGCATTCCTGTGATGAACTGTACAACTCTATTAGGTGCCACCAGTTTTCTTTTTACCACCAGCAGCAGTAGTACAGCCATCTAGGTGCCACCTTCAGCTCCTACGTGTTCGGTGGGGAGGGCAGGGAGATGATTTCTTCAAGTGCAATGCCCTGGGGCTTAGCAAGGAACCTCTAGATAGTCTAAAAACTATTGCTTAATATTTGCTTTTGGAGAATATTTGGCAGCTTTAATACCAACATGCCTAATTTTGGGAGAAAAATATGTATTGCACAACTTATAACCACATATGTTATGAACTTGACAAAGGCAACAATAAATGAGAAAAAATGCATGTCTTCTTGGCGGGAGTGGCACGTGGATAAATCTACAAAGAAATCAAATGTAGGAGAAAACATTCATCTTCATATGAATAAATATTAACACATTAACAAATTCCTGTGAACCCAACCACCTGTTTGCCCATTGAAAAGCATGTAAACAAGTGTTACTTTTTCTAAACCCACTTTGTTTGTATGCTGATCCCTTGAGTTATGTAGATCAGGTATTTTTTATAAGCACCTAATTCTGAATATTGTTGTGATACTTTTGCCTTATGCATTCATAAATAACGACTTATATTCTCAATGGAAAATCAGGTTTCTTCTTGGAATCTCTTGAAGGGCTCATGATCTCTAGGGCAGACAACATAAAATGTAGTGAGAGCTAATGTTCAGAACACATCTTTATCGCAATTTACCCTGAGATCAGCTTATCTCAGTCAGCCTACAGGGACCTGTACAAATATTGACACATAACTGTAGAGCTGTTTGGTCATACAGTTTTCTAATCTGTGTGTGTCTGATTTGCCTAATCACAGTAATCTGAAGAGAATGTTATTGTGAGCTCGCTGATGTCTTTATTCTGATGGATAATATGAGCTGTCTACTGGGGTTGGCTCCTGCACGTTAAGGTTTCAAATGTTGTGCTAGCAACAAACATGGTGACACTATTTTTCACGCCCTTTAGTTTACAACCAAAAGTCTATTATTTTACATGAAGAAAGGGAAACAAGATTTAAAAATCCCACTAAAATTGGATCTGTAAAACAGTTTAAAGGAAAAGTGTTTATGAAAATATTTTTAAACCTTCTATTTCCTCATCCTCCTCAACACTCTTGTTTTCTCCCAACTGCCCCTAGAATAGATGCCATATGTTGTATAGTAAGAGAATCACACTGCCTACTTCCAAGTTCAATTTTTAGTCACAGCTTTAAAAATGTATACAGAATAAGCCATTTAAGACACCCGTGGATTTAAATTGCAGAAAAAGCAATAGCCATTTATTAATCATCTTGATTTGAGTATTAAAGACATTACTTAAACTAATTTAAGCATGCCTATAAATTCAAGATGCCCTCAACTTTTCCTGTCTTGTAAATGCTCTTGACATTGTTACTCAGAGCTTGCCATCAGCCTTTACTAAGCTGTGAGCATCTCAGGAAGTCTTGTTACAATACTGTATACTCTGGGCTCCTTGCCTCTGGCTGACAGGACCCAGCCAGTTTCAGATCTGCTAATAACTGCTGCCCTACATGTTGGGCAATTTTTGATTGTCAGATATGCTCACTACATGCAGTTTAGACTATATTAAAGATATTCTGTGGTCAAAAGCCTTGCTGACCTATAGAAAAGGAAAGAGGGTTAGAGAAAGTATAAAAATTATGGAAGCCAGGATACAGAAAGAAAAAAGACCAAAAAGATGATGCTTGACTTTTTAGAAATTCAACCTTCAGCCATCTGATAGTTCATTCCACCTGTGCCTTTCTATTAAATTAATAATACCAATATCATAGAGAGGGATTACTTACTAATGCTCTTCTTTCAGAACATCATCTCTGGATATTTGTACTGGTGGAATTGGTATCCCTTAGCATTTAGCTGCGAATTAGCTCCAGCTACCCCCATGGAGGATTCTGATGTTGAAGAAGGCATCATCATTTTCTTTCATAATGTCAGACTTATTGTCTTGAGGCTTCAAACAAATGGGCAAGGAATATAACTAGGCAGAGGGGACTGTCAAAGAACAGCAGTTTCTGGGGGCCCTTATAGACATTAAAGTAAATGTGCATAGGATCTGATGTGGGATCCCAACAGTTGTGTTTCCTGCCATGCCACACGTGCTATATTGCCAGTGCAGGGGAAGCCTGATCCTGGGCTGATCAGAGCTCATCAGCTTTAGGACCACACAATGAGCTCCCCCAGTTGGGAGCTCCAATCAGCTGATGGGGTTTCCTGCTCAGGGAGCGTGTGGTACAGTCACCTGGCTGGGAGTCCCAACCAGCCAAGGGGAACTCCTAGCCTCTGGAGCGTGCAGGAGTCTTGAAAAGCTCTACAGGTTGCAAGAACTGGCCATGCATTTCATTAAAAGTGTGATAGGAATGAACCACAAAGTTATTACATATACCGGCCAGAAAATGGCAGCTGCCCTAGAGTTATTCTCTCTCTTCTCTCCAAGCTGCATTTTGAGTTTGTGTTGGAGTCTTGTTTAACAAACCTCTTGGGATCCTGGGTCAGCAATTAGTGGGAGTATATATTTATAGACAGCTAGTCAGAAGGCATTATTCTTCTAGCCACAGCTGCAATTCACAGACGTAAGGAAATACAGGTCAATACCAGTTAATCACATTTTAAATGTAATGTCTGTCCGGGACCAGGCAAAGAGTCAAGGATTTTTTGTGATATCTTTTAACGGACCAGTTGTGAAATTGGGAAAGCTGTTAGACAAACTTTCGGACATCAGCTGTTCTTCCTTAGGTCTAACAAAGAAGCAGACCCAGCCTTCATGCAAATGCAAGCATTCTTCTGGGAGGGATGGAGGGGAGCTGTGAACTAGGAATGAAGAGGTGTTATAAGGAGCCGTTACTAACCCAAAGTAGACAAGGCAATCTCATTAGTGGCAAATAGCTCTGATACTTAGCTCAACCTGAGTTTGCCTCTTACAGGGCACTTGATGTGCAAAAGCTTGTCCAACACCTTTCCCAACTACATGGTTGGTCTGATAAAAGATATCGCAGAAAACCCTCACTTCTCCTACATTCCTGGACCATCACAGCTATAACAACACTCTGACCCTACTAGTTTCTGGCAAGTAACTCCTATTTCAAGTAGCTTCCATCTATTCCAACTTGTGTAAAACTCGTAAGCCATATGAACCCCTAGGAGGGTGGTCCAAGGAGAGGCAGGTGAACAGGGACTGCAAAAATCCTCAAAGAAGCAACAGCACTGAACAACCCTCCATGAGAGACTGTTTTGCTTCAAATAATAGGCCTTCAAACAACAGTTGTGCCAATTCTATGTATAAAACAGAAGGCTTCTTCCAGATTAGTTGACCATCTTTTGAGATATCCAGGTGCATGAACAGCAAAGGTGTAAAACAAACCTTAGGCACTACGTAGGATATTGGCCTTTAGAAGACAAAAACAGAAATGCCTGGA